TGCCAATGTAATGAAACTATTCACACTGACCGCCAATGTAGCGAAAGTGCTGCGCTAGAACTCCTATCCTGGAGGTGACAGGGTCAATAAAGAGAATCTGTCACCTCCAAATGCTATCACACAGGGGTTGTTAGCTCCTGTGTGATAGCAATAAAGTTAAGTGAAAAAAATTACATTAAAAAAAGAATAAATATAAATACACAAATTAGTACAAAATAATAAGAAATAATAATTAAATAAAAACATTAAAAGGTGATTAAAAAAGTAAAAAAATACTAAGAAATAAATAAGAAAATAATTATAAAAAAATAAACAATAATAAGACTAATAAAAAATTAAAAACAAAAAAAGTAAACGACAAGATAAATAAAAAAAGTAAAAAAATTTAAAAAGTGCTAATAAAAGGGGAAAAAAAAATTAAAACTAACCCTGCCGCCCCTGCCATTCTCCATCCCTGACCATACACTTACCTTGTTCTTGCAGTCTTCTCTTCCTTAGCAGCGGGGGAGGGGTAGCGATTTGCATATGAATGAGCCGCGATATTTACATATGAATGGGTCGCGGCTTATTGGTATGCAAATTACCCATTCATATGTTAATATCTCGGCCGGTACCGGGACAGTGCAGGCTGCAGGAACAGCACCAGCAAGCTCCGGAAAGAGCACAGAGTAGAGAGAGCTGGGGGAGGAGGTGTTTCTCTGGCCTCCCCCACCAGCGCCCTCTAGTGTCTACTGTGTGGTAGTGCCGGCTCTGCTCGCTACCACACAGTAGACACTGCTCTGCACAGAGCCGGCCATCGGCATGGCGGACCGGCCCGAACACAATCAGGTTGATTGTGTTCGGCCCGGCCCACCGGGCAAGTGCCCGGTTTGCCCTATGGCCAGTCCGGCCCTGCTAGGTTGTATTGGGGTTTTTGAAGAGGCATCAGACAGATATAAAGTTCATATACAATTTATTACATTTCGTTAAAAAAATCCATGATTCAAGTTAAAAAGGAAATACATGATTTGCGTTTCCCTAGGTTCTTGCCTTCTAATCACAATTTCATCTATTATGTTTCTATCTATTTCATGTATAATAGATGACATTGTGATTAGAAGGCAAGAACCTAGGGAAACAAAAATCATGTATTTCCTTTTTAACTTGAATCATGGAATTTTTTAATAATTGTAATAAAATTTATATGAATTTTATATCTGTCTGATGCCTCTTCAAAAACCCCAATATAACCTAGGTTGTGATTTTTTGATGTATTTGGATTTATAGGGGGTGAGGTCTCAGATCACCTGGTATGGATAAATCTGGGAAGTACTTTTTGTTTGCAATGCTTTTTAAGCAGTTACAGCAAAATGTTTTAACTCAGTTAAATTAAATATATACCAGTACACCACTTAAATAAAGAAGAATGAGGACCTAATTGATCAGTATATCATATTGTATTGCTCTCTGAATAGTCCTCAGCTTCTTATATTAAATATATACACCGAAAAAAACACCTATTTAACTATTTAGACAATCATTGTATCCAAATAAAGTACCAATATATTTATATTCTTATTACTCTTAAATCTACAAACATTTAAATCTTTATAAATGCTCATATTAATATGATAGTTGTGCACACAGTTGCCTTCATATGAACTATTTTGCATTTAAGACAAACCTGAATGCTACATAGAACATTAAAAGTGAAAAAGCTGTGACTATTTTTGCCATGCTGGTAAAGAGGAGAGTTCCCTCACTTTGGAGAGAATTCCTCTCCTCCTTTGTTGTGTTTACAGGACATGAAATGGTGGGAAATCTGGTCAATACAGCAAAAAACAAACACAAAAATAATGTTTAAAGGGGTTATAACTCTTTCTATATTAAAAAAAACGAGTTATAGATACATTTCAAGAAATACTCTCCACTTTTCTTTTGCTATTGATGATACAACTTTAGTGTCACCCGTTTATGATAATGATGAAAGACAACTGCCATTCATATTAAATGTTAAATGAAGGTTTCCTCCTATTGTCCTCCGTTCACACATTATAATGTTAATGAACTTGTCCTGGCAGTGATTCTGATGGAGAGTGGAAACAAAGAGCAACTGAAACTGCCACATTATAATGTAAACATGCCTTTTGTGAAGTAGATCTCACCTTTTCAGCCAATAGAGACCCAGCACATGTAGGTGAATGGTGGTGAAATGAATATAAGGTGAGGCTGGGCTCAGTCAGTTACAAGAACTGCTGGTCAAGAGAACAAGAAGCTTCTATAGGACCCAATTCTACATTATACCAGGTAGATGTTTTATGTTTTGAACATTATACTGAGAGACATGTTGGCTGCAGGCAGAGTATGTCTTGGGTATTCAAAAAAAATCCAGGCAACAAATAATGCTGTTAGAGATCAATAACTTGGAAACATTGGCTGAATCAAGAATGTTTATTGAGGTTGATAATGTCAGTCCATTAATACTCAGAACATTTCTTATTGTATGTCTGAAAGGGATTGCAGCTTCTTGTCTCATTAGTCTGAGATTCATATGAAAAGTACCTTATGAATAAAATGAAAGTGTACCTATACCTAAACATTTTTCAGTTTGGCTAGAGTGGGGAAGGATTAAAACTCCTGTTGTAGAGAGAAGACCATGTAAAAGAAGAAGCTGAATACTAACCTCTATGTCAGGCAACATGTGAAATCTTCACTCTCTTGCACAGTTAGGAGCATCACTGTTGTCTTATAATTTAGTGTATGCTAGATAGCATGTAACTTACCAGGCACCATGGTGCCTCCAGGGGACCACTGTGTCATTACAGGAAAAAGTAGTAAAGTGCGATTGATGATAGGAAGCATGAATTTGTGAAAAATGTTGCATTGTCATAAACTGTTAGAGATCAATAACTTGGAAACATGGGCTGTCTCAGAATGTTTACTCAGATTGATATTAATCTAATGTCAGTCCATTAATACTCGAAAGGTTCTTATTGTACTTCTGAAAGGGACTGTAGCTTCTTGTCGAATTACTCTGAGGTTCATAGAAAAGGTTTTTCATGAATAAAATGAAAGTGTACCTAAAGCTTTACTTTTATTAGTTTGAATAGAGTGGGGGAGGATTGAAACTCCTGTTGTAGGCAGAAGGCCCCTTAAAAAGAAGAAGCTGAATACTAACCTCTATGGCAGGCAGCATGTGAAATCTTCACTCTCTTGCAGAGTTAGGAGCACCACTGTTATTTTATAATTTAGTGTATGCCGGAAAGCATGTACCTCACTGAGCAACATAAAGCCTCCAGGGGACCACTATGTCACTGTAGGGCAAAAGTTTACATAAGCTTACATATACACATACCACAAGGGAACCAGAACAGTGAATCCTTCCCTTCTCTTCAGATGGCTCAATCTGACTGTTCAATCAGAGACAGAGTGTGTTGGAAATAGAAACAATTCTACTTTAAACTATCTTTAGAAAATCCTTAATGCTTTGTAAATCCTATTCCATGAATGTACCTATTATTACCAATATGTAACTTCTCTGTAATTAAGGCTTCCATAGAGTGAAGTCATGTGAACAGATACAGCCCCAACCATTCCGAGGTTTTTACTATTGCCGCTGGGCTTCTAAAGGGAAATGATTGCATTATGCCACCCTTCCTGTTTGGGGGCTTGAAGTAAAGATAATTGAGTTGAGATAACACATTCTCCACTCAGAACAGACAATCCTGTATTCAGTTATTGTTATTTCCTGTGTGGTATGAATTTAGAAAAAAACTAATAAGAACGAATCATCTGCACTGCAAACTGTCTAAAGACAAACACTGTTTGTGTAAAAGTCTGAAATTTTGAGACTGGTCTTTATCTGTTGCCAATCTGTATTTTTTTTTCAGGGACTAAACTGAAATTCCTAAATTTCTTTATTAAAACATTCTGATAATATTCCACTGCTAAGTTGGCATTCTTTAGCACATGATGGATCCCAGAGGAGACAAGCTATACGAGTGTTCGGAGGGTGAGAAAAGTTTCATTTTAAAGTCATTTCTAACAGTTCACCAGAAGATTCATAATGAAAAGAAACAATTTGACCAGGGCTTACAACATGAGACACATCTCATTCAACACCAGAGGAGTCACACAAAAGAGAAGACATTCATGTGCTCTGAATGTGAAAAGTGCTTTACAAACAAGGAAAATCTTATTAGACACCAAAAGATTCACACTGTAGAGAAACCATTTAGATGTTCTGAATGTGACAAGTGCTTCTGTCAAAAGGTTAATCTTACTGAACACCAGAGGATCCACACAGGAGAGAAACCATATTGGTGTTCAGAATGTGACAAATGTTTCACCACAAAGTCAAAGCTTGCTATTCATCAGAGGAATCACACTGGAGAGAAACCATATAGATGCTCAGAATGTGACAAATGCTTCTCTCAAAAAGGAAGTCTTACTGGACATTGGAGGATCCACACAGGAGAGAAACCATATTGGTGTTCAGAATGTGACAAATGTTTCACCACAAAGTCAAAGCTTGCTATTCATCAGAGGAATCACACTGGAGAGAAACCATATAAATGCCTAGAATGTGACAAGGGCTTTCCACAGAAAAAATATCTTAATGAACATCAGAGGATCCACACAGGATTGAAACCATATGGATGTTCAGAATGTGGCAAATGTTTTACATTGAAGTCACAGCTTACTACTCACCAGAGGACTCACACTGGAGAGAAACCATATAAATGCTCAGAATGTGACAAGAGCTTCAGACAAAAGACAAGTCTTAATAAACATAAGAAAATGCACACGGGAGAAAAATCTGTTTTGATGCTCTTAATGTGAGCTTCATCACATAATTCTTATTAACTTCTCCGTGAGACTTATGTGATCAGCTGCATCCGGTTGCTATTTTTACAGGTGAAATTCCACAGACAGCAGCTAATTGCAGGAGTCTTAGCGGCGGGGCATTTGGGATATTTTTGCAATCGTCCCATTTCCACGGTTGTTCTGATGACATGAACACAAGTTGCAGTCAGAGACACATTGAGGTTGATTTACTAAATGAGTAGAGCCTGTGGACTTAACAATCTGTATCTTCACTTATCTTATTATGTAAGATGAAGCTGTGTTTCCTTAGACTTCACTTTCATACTCAGTCATGTACAAGAGAAATTTTACAAAAGAAAATATAAATATTTGCTTTCACATAATTGGATAATAGAACTGAACACATCTTTATCCCATTCACTAAGCTAAGTGTAGATATTTTTCAGAAACTAGGTGCACTATTATTATTACTTTTAGTAAATCAATGACATTGCAGTGTACACATTTCACATATAACAATTCCAGCTGATTTTATAATCCACCCAGTCATTTCTAGCCCTATGCACGGTATTAATGTCATTTGCATCTATCTTGGAAAACTGTAAAGGTTTCTTAGGTAAATTGCAGCCATTTTATTTTTTAAACTTGATATATATAAACACAGTATATGTTTAGCATATTTTAGTAAATTGTGTGTTTTAAAATTGAGCTTCAGCTATAGAGCTCTGTACTCAACAGGAAAGGAGAAGAGAAGGAGCCAAATGATAATCTTGCCTGGCATATTGAAAATTATTTAATATCATTATTCAATAATCTCAAATTAACTAAAAATATTCCTGACCATTACAGATAAATACAATAATATGCTAAAAACAATATGTATTTGCTTCAAGCTTTTACAAGGAATGTATACTATGTAGCTACTTATTATGGTCAGGACTAAGACATGTACTTTTTTTTTACTTTTTTTAGAGGAATTTAGAAATTCACCTTGAATATTTTTTTATTTTATATGCACACAGCGGGTCATGTTCTTGGTTCCTTTTCATGCATGATGGAAAACCAGAACTTTAAAAGACCTTTTTAACAAGGAGCCCTTCTTGGGGAATTGTCAGTGAATGCTTGGAGGACTGCCGGACAGATTGATCAAGTGTCACTGAGAGAAGGAAGTTGCCCTTTCTTAAAGTGATGTTCGTTGGTTATGCATGTAATGATACATGCCCCTTGAAATATCAGTTTCTTTGCTGTTATTATTTTAGAGTTTTGATTTATTTGCATGGTTTTTTAAGGAGTATTGGAGGGCCACCACAGAGCCCCTCCTTCCTTCTCAAAGTTTGTTCACAGCTTGAATTAATATCACGGTTTAAATTTTAGTTTTCTGTGTTGTTTTACTACACCGCTAGTCAGAGGTTCACATGTTTAAGATATATATGCCGAACCAATGAGGTTAATCACTGGCACTAATTCTGAAGGTTCAAGTGTTGATTTTTATTATTCTTATTATGTTTGTGTGTTGAACCTTCTAGTCATCTAGTCTAGTCTAGTCTAATGTAAATAATCCACTTGCATCAATTTTTTCACACGGATTGTTGTAATTTTACACAGATTTGTTTATTAACACTTTAGTGTGTAGTTGGTTCACATAGACCGAGCGCAACATATTTGCTTTACATTTGTTCACCTATACACATTGTTGCGGCTGGTCCAATCAGGTAGTTAGGCACGCATTCCCAGCGCAGTGATTTCTGTGATATATGATGCCTTATTGTTTACAGAGCTCAGATGCGCAATCAAAAATGTACACACAAAAGTGAAAAAAAAAAGAGCAGTGACTCCTGGCTTGTATGAAAATGTTACACCTGTAATGTAAAAACAACACTTACTTTGGTCCTGAGGAAGTGGACCAGTCCTCCAAGACTCATAGATCTCTGTGCTGTAAAAAATTATAAGTTTGTTCAATTGATTAGATAAGATGCCTAATGGAAGAATGGCTCGTCTCACATAAACACATAGAATGTAGTGATTTGGTTATACTACAGATGCATTTATTTAGAGATTGTTTTTATTATGGAATTATAAATACACTTTTAAAACTTTTTTTGTGTATACTGTGTGTTGGTGTAACAGTTAATGACTCATGTTCTGTATAGAAAGTCACAATCACTTTGTTTTTCCTAAAAGCCAATAATGGTAAAAAAAATACATAATCCGTGGAGATATAAACTTTATCACCTGCATGCAAGATTGTTACCCCACCTTCCAGTGTTCTGCTAATTTACCTTTCTTTAATACTTATGATGATGTAGTTTCCCTTCATCCAGAGATCATGATATCATTTGATACCGTAACAGTGCTGTATAAATTATGGCAGATTGTAAAATAAAAGAAGGTATTTGCATCAGCTTGACTCAGTTCCACTGAGAGACGGGGTGTATGAAAGGTAACACCCTGTGCTGTGCTCTCTCTAAAGGCCGTGACACACTGCACGTGAAGCCGTGCAGAAAGAAGCAAAGCTATCCGGCATGGAGCTTTGCGTGCAGTGTGTGAGCTGAGTGCAGTCAGATGATTGACAGCACCTTCAGCCAATCGGCCCGTCCGTAACAACCTGCCAGCTGTCGCATGGCGACGCGCTGGTTTAGTACAATCGTACGACGTTCGGTTTTCCAACATGCTAGAAAACTGTGGTTGAATCAATACAATTTTCGCAAGTTGGTGCCGTTTCCATATGTCGAAATTCAAACGATTAACACTGCTCATGCGCAAACAAAATTCTGTGCGGTCGATTAACGATGGTGCGATGGTCGGGGCAGGATGGGGCCACCGTACGAAAATCATACAACGGTTCGATCGTCAGACGAAAATCTCCGTCCGATGATTGCAAGGTGTATGGGCACCTTTAGAAAGTGGTAAAATCATGGTTCAAAAATACTTGCCTTACGCAGCACTGGCGTGTTGAGGTCCGCAGTAGACACCCGTTCACACATTTTTAACCCACAGAAACACGACCACGCCACTTTTTCCCAATTTCTTTGTGAATAGCATAAACACGCGCGACTTGTGCATACATATTAGCGGCGTGACCATTGTTCTCTACTGTCCAGAAGTGTGTGTTGATAGGAAGCTGTTTCATGTTGCCAGTATTTACGTGTTCCTCATTACACATATGGAGAGACTTCTATTATTTAGTCCACTTGCTAATAAATGTCCAAAACACATGAGTACTTCACAATTCCTATTATGAGGCATCACAGTGATTTAGACACAAATGGATATCTCATACATTTACATTCCTGCATTCATCAATACCAGCAACACAATCACATTACTACATACAGCCAATTTACACAACAGTACTATGTAATGCATGCAGGGCATTGCACAACACACCTGCTGGGTGTGAACACACTGCAGTGGTGTATACATTCCACCAATACATCAGGCTGGGTGTTCACCTCTGCAGTGTGTTCACACCCAGCATAACACACTCCTACAGTGTCATGCTGGGGTGTATGTGAACACACTGCAGGGGTGTACTTAAGTTAGCTGTGTGAGGACACTGCAGGATGTTTGGAGCATGCCATACACTTGCCTGGCAAACCAAAAGCACCTATTGGCCACACTGCAACATGCACCACTGCAAATACCATGCATTTCCATTAAAATTAGTAGAGTAAATCTTGGAGATCACACTGCTACGGTGAATTTGCAGGACTGTGCATGTAGTGTGTTGTGCGTTCAGGGCCTATTGCTGTAGTGACCCAGGCCAATATGCATTCACACTGAGTGCCTGAGGGATCAGGGGAATCACCAGGAGTGCCTTATAGTGCAATAAGTTCCATGTGGTAGCATTTATGTCAATGGCACCCTAGATGCATTCCTTGGCAACACTTCAATTTCCCACATTACCATGCGTAGTTTTGCATTTCAACAATGTCGTGCATGCACTCCATTTGTAGATGTCATAGAATGCATGGTCCTGTGGTCACGTGCATTGGGAGTGCGAGTGGCATTTGGGTGGCACATTCCAAGGAATATCACTGCAAGCCCCCTCATACACTGGCATCACAGGAATTCCATGTTCTGCAGAAACGCACATACATTGCATGCAGTCCGATGTTACATGTTTTGTCAGTGTAACCAGGTAGTTGTGGGTGAATTACATTATTTGACAATAGTGTATGATGGCAGGACCATGGCTGTGTAAACCTTTGCTGACTCTCACCCCCATAACAAATGTAATCTGAAGAGGCTCAGAGTAACATCAAACACCTCTTCCCTGACTCTAGTGCATGTGATGGGTTAATGTGCACCTGTCACCCACATGCTGATTAGGCATTACCACAAAATGGTTGAACACGCCTCCAACAAACTTGATATAAGGCTCACATTGGCTCATGACTAGTTTGCTCAAATGCAGACTGACATGTATGTGAGCAGGACACTCTGCTAGAAACTGAGTTCTCGTATAGGAAATGTGTGTCATTTATTGTCAAATGTTGTTTTTCTCTGATGTGACGGGTTCAAAAATGTGTGTTTGGTTTTACGATATGTCCAGGTTTCTACCCCCTATGTGCCCTCCTCACCGTCTCATGATGATGAAATCATTGCATGCCTTGTCTTTGTTCCTTTAGCATGAGTAGGAGGTATTTGCCTTAACATCCTTATTTCCCAACAGGTGTAACATGCATATTCACCATCACTGATCACTGACTGCTGGTACTCGTTCTCCTTCCTGACACGCTGTCACAGGAGGCTGAGCGAGCAGAGCTCAGCCTGCTGTTACAGCGCTGGCTGTCTCCGCCCACACACCGCTCTGCCGATCTGTGACAGGAGGCTGAGCGGTCCCGCAGCGCTCGGTACCTGTGACCGTTTCTCTCCTTCCCGCCGGGACAGTGGGGCGGAGAGAAATCGGGGATGCACCGCTGTATCAGCCAAAAGTGCCATTTTCGGACG